ACTGTGAGAGTCTCTAGAGCATACAGCTGTCAAGACCTATACTTAAATGCATGGGCATCAGGGAACACAAAGTTATTTTCTGTCTCATGGTTGCCATGGAAACAATACGCGCTATTCAGGATGCTCGGGTTAAAAATAGGAGCTCTTTTCACTCATGCACTCCGCCCCTTCCATGTTGTCTTTTTCACCAACAGCAACTACTTTCTTCTGTCATCATTTTAAAAGCTACACCTTCAAGCCTCAACACAAGAAAGACTGCTGATGAACTTAAACTTGTTGTTTTGTGCTTTTGAACATAGTAGGAGGTGACTCCTTCACAAACAAAGCTGAAACACAATATTTAATTAGTTTTCTTATTTGAAAGGTTGAGTGAAAATACAAGCAGCAATATAAAATTTTATTTACTCGTTTTCTTTTTTAATATAAAGAAAAAAAATAATAATTCAAAATTATTTTTTTTTGTTATTACCAAAACAAATTGTTAATCTCCAAAAAGTGCACATGCAGTTTACTTAAAAGCACTGACCACAACAATTATTTTGCATATAACCAAGAATATGTTAAGAGCCATAAAAGGGAACCCCAGTTAACCCTATTAACCACCAGTGGTTTCATATTTCTCTTTGACAACCTACAAAATACATTCTACTTCTTTTTGTATCCTGACCATTTAACATGTTAGAAACTACTGTAGCAGCTATTATTAAATGTGAGCAATGCATTCTGGGTTGGTGATGACATCAACAGTTTTATATTTACTGAATAGCAGAATCGGTGCCACATGATGCTGCTTTTGCTGTTCTTCAGTTGAAAGGCAACGTGGGAAGGAAAGCATTTTTCTAAAAAATAAAAAGACCCATATCTGTGATCTCATCTGATCGGTTCAACACCCGTATTAATGAAACTAGCATTACTTGAAGGAATCCATATCATCGATCACATTACATGCTAAAGTTTTAAACAAAGATACTGCACCATCACAGTTAGCAATCTGAGAGTGTGCTGTGGATAACTCAACTACTACCACACAACATTTTAGTTCAATATCTGTAAAAAAAACAACAGCTATTTTTGTTCTTGCTGAGGTTATTTAGCTGTGGCGGCCACCTTGAATCTGGTTGGTAAATCAGTAGTAGATGTACATCCAATGATAAGCGAGTTTCATTAAAATCCACACACTGGTTCAACAGAGAAACAATAAGCAAACACACACACAGGTACTGTATTTTCCGGCCTATAAGTTGCAGTTTTTTGCATAGTTTACATGCCCTGCGACTTATAGGCCGAAGCGACATATTTATGGATTTTTTTCCCATATTTATAAACCATTTTTTAGCTGAAAAATGGCCGTTTCAATTCATTCTGACTGAAAAAAGAATAGCAGTACCACTTTCAGCCACTTGGTGGCAGCAGATTATTAATAACTGTATGGCATGCTGCTGGCTGTTGTTTCATGTAATAGGTAAACGTGGCTTTAATGCCAAATTCAAAAAAGTTCAAGACAAAAACAACTGGACTTTATTTATTATACTATACTTTATACTTTATTGCTTTTTTTCTTGAACTTTTTAGAATTTACCATGTCCTGAATGACTGAGAATCTTCACCAGCTTCTAATGACTCAATCGGCCTGCCATATCGCCCCACCTTCATCCTGCTCTCTGCTTGGAACCATCAAAACAGCTGCACCACCCCGGCGATATGCAGCTGATTTGACCTTTAAAGTGCATTTATTAAGCAAATGTCAGACTGAGACACACATTTACTATAATTTCGAGCAAACAAATAATTGTTTTTAAGTGTTAATCTTGTTAAATTCTTGTTAAAGTCCTCCCATGCACGCTCCCGCAATTTGGCAGCCCATTGGTTTTTGGCACAACACATTTCCGGGTTGTCGGAGGAGACGCGTAACAAACGCGACCCGTCAGCGGTGACGCAGAATAGATGCGACGTACACGGCGAAGCGACATATTTAACGAATTTTTCCACTTTATTAAACAAATATGGACTGATGCGACCTGAGAATCACACACAACCCTATCTTAAAATACTGACTGACTTTTACCCCCATGCAACCCCACAAGTCACTGCTGCTCACCGTTTCTTACTTTGAACACCACTTCTCTATCCTTATGGGTTGAAAATTACCATAAGTAACAAAATGGAATTGTGAATATGTCTCAAAGTAACAGTACATCCCATGAGCCTTTGCACTGACCGTCCTGACACTGTTTCAGTCCAAGTGCCCCCCCCCCTTCAGCTCATCACAGTATTGTTTAGTCAGAAGGTGGAGCTCCTCTATTTGGATTAAACAGCGGCTGTAGCACAAACACTAAACACTGCTCCATCGTCAGCTTTCATCCTCCCTGGTCTACATGTTGGGGTACACCTCCAGTGAAGAGCTCAGTGCTGTTTTCATCTCATGCAAAGCGCTCAAGTTCACAATGATCAGAAGTCAAAATTACCACTTGCTGACAAAAGGTGAAAAGCAGGTGATATTTATCCTGGTGTCTGTGTGTGTGTGTGTGTGTTACCATAAAAATCTTATGAGACATGGGAAAAAATAAAAATAAAAAATGAAACCAGCAGAAAGTAATCATTAGACATCTGCAACTTTTGAAGTCAACACAATTCAAGACGCCAGCTCCTGCCAAATGATTTTAGAAAGCATCAATGGATTTAACTTGGTCCGATGAACAAATATTAATTAAGAGTCAGTATGGTAGTAGCTGACGCTGAGCCGTAACACATATTCAGAGCACAAACAAACGGCACAAGACTTCGTTTAAAATGTTGCCTTTAACTATTTGCAGTTGTTAGCAAATATCTTTACATACATGCTCCAAGTGCTACTCACTGCACAAGAGTTTTGCTTATTACTATAGCATTAACTGTTGTGCCAACTCTGTTAGCAAAATATTCTTTGAACACTTAGATGGATTTTGCTGAATCTCCGAGACAAAGCTAATAGATTTGATCAAAAATAAAAAGATTAGAACTCAATCAGTTTTATAATTACTGAGGTAAAATTTGATGTGGTAGTGAGATTACGTATAATGTTATGTTTTATTAATTGCCTATAGTTTTATTTACAACATTTATAACATTAACAGCTTTATAACATTTTGTATCAGTACCCACAATGCAGTGCAACGTAAATAACAATGGAGGACTACAAACAGAAGGATTTTTACTAATGATACAAAACCAAAAAATACATGGCGTCTTTTCAGTGCTACATTTGCAAAGCGTACGACGTCAACATTAATCTTTCTGGAAACAAAATTCACTATACGTGTTTTGGCAATTATACCACATTTAGCCAAAAAAGTCCATGCTCAATAATCCAGGTTTATTGAGCATGGACTTTTTTAGTTTTGAACCGGTTTGACATGACTGTTGACGAGGAAGAGGGCCAGCATTGGAGGAGGGGGCGTGCCAAAGACACCATCTTAGCACCAGCATAACTGGTTTGTTCCACTTTGGAGTAAGCTGTTGGGGGAAGAATCAGTTTTGTGTTGTGTGTTTCCTTGACTGATGAAGCCTTCTGGATGGAAGGTGAAACGTTTCAGCAAAAAAAGAAACTGTCCAGATGACCTGACTGACAATTGTTGGATACCACATTTAGGTGAACACAAAAGAAGCAAGATGGATAACCTGAAGGGAGCTCTTTAAAAAAAGCATCTCCTGCATTAGGGATGTACAATATTATCGGCACGGTATCGGCCGATTTTCACGATACAGTTAAATATCGAACATCGGCCATTCCATCGAAATAACTCACCGATATAAAAGGCTTCCGTTTTAAGTTCATTTTTTATTTAAGAACCAGTCAAGTATATCTATTAATGCACTACTACATTTGCACTTTTCACATGTCGCTTGTGAACAGGTTGAGTTTAGATTTGTGAAAATTTACAAATTTGCACTGTTCCAGTGTTGTCGTTGTGTTAGAGAGTAAATGTCATGAATAAATTTGACATTAAACATAATCCAAGTTGAAGTGTTGCATCATTTTCAGCCCTCGTTTGGGCATCTGCATTTGGGAGCAGGTTCAATTGACAAAGACCATGCAGAGTAATGTAGTATTTTAATTCCACAGCAGAGAAAGCCATGTAGTCTCTGGGGCAAAAAACATATTGGTACTGGTTATCAGCCAAATAAGTTTTAACATACCGGCCAAAAATCTAATATCGTGCATCCGTATCCTGCACCATTAAACCTGAAGAGTCATTTAAACTTCACTCAGCTCAGCAGCCTCAGACTGAGGACCCATCGTGGGGGTTAAAGGTCATTTTGACCCAACACACATGACCTGTCGTTAAATGTTTGTTTACCCCCACATTCCTGTGTTTTATTTCAAACTGGAGTATAAGTAAGTTGAAACTCTTCACGTTCCTACTCGTGGAGAGTATTTCTGCAGCAGTCAGACCAGACAAACTAAAAGCTGCTTCACGGGAATAACGCGTGCAAGCCAAGACTTGTTCATATTCATGGGCTAACAAAAAAGCACGTTCGACTTTAACTGGGGTTTAAGCACAAAAACACCAGTAAGAGTTATAACTCAGGCAGTCATTTAAGGGTCAGCATCAACTGAGCACTTTCTGGACACTCCCACCAGACCTCAGTTTAATATCATGAAATTTATCGTTGCGGAGCTCAACATCAAATCAGCAACACTAATAACGTTTAAAAAATGTCTTCTGAGACGCGACACTTGCTCATCTGGACATCGGCGTGAATAATATGTGGGAATAAAAAGTCTAAATGATATTGTTTGTTACATCAAATGCATCTTCATTCAAAAAGCGAGGAAGTTTGAGGATGACTATGATTTGTTGACTTGTAAGAGCGAACACAAAGCGGCTGTTTCATCCTTAAACGAGCGACTGTACTATTTCAAATAAAAGCCATTAGTGTTTTGTGACAGCTCGTTTCCAGATGCAAGATGACGTCACAGCGTAGCTAGCTAATTGTTAGCATCCCTGGCTAACGTCTACCTTGTCCTCTGGCGGCTGCAGCGGCGGCTCGGTGTCTTTGGCTCCGCGGTGCCGTAACTCCGCCATCTTAGAGACAGGAGACCGAAAGTCAAGAGCCGAGGTCCAGAGGTTCCGACAGGAGATGGTTTGCTGGATAAACTGCTCAGTTTCGAGCTAGGTGCTGCTGCACGGCAACGCTTCTTACCGCCGCCTACTCGAAGAATCCAAAACATGGCAGGGAGGTTCCGGTTTTCAAAATAAAGTCCTCCTTCTGAACAGACCTCGAGGTGAATTAATACGTTTTGTTGTTTTTTCTCCCTATTTTTCTTATTCTTATTTTAACAGAATTAGAGCTACTTACGTGTTTTTTTTTTATTTTTTATTAATGGGATTTGAGTTTGAGTGGTCTGAAAATCTGCCGATAAAAAAGGCACATTTTAACATTTGATTATTTCTTAACTGATAAATTAATTTATCTCCTGCTTGTTTCTCCACATTGTTAGGAATAAAATAACCTTTGATGATAAATTGTGGGAAATAGCACAATGTGGGTTGGCGAATATAAAATTGAAAATAGATCATAAAAAGATGACTAGAATATCTGTCAGATGTGTAAACTAGGCAATAAAGTGATAAATAGTATATTTTTAGTGACTGCTAACTTCAAAATCAACCATTCATTCGACGTTTATTTAGACAGGTTAGTCCCATTGAGCCTCGAAGACTCATTTACAAGAGAGACCTGATTTCAACAAAGAATGATGACAACAATGGACAACAGTGACAACAATAAACAATTATAAAAAGTCACACAATTTTTTTTTTTTTTTAACAAATCCATCCATTATCTTTACCATCCATCCATCCATTTTCTTTACCCGCTTATTCCATTTTGGGTCACGGGGGTCGCTGGTGCCCATGTCCAGCAATCACTGTGTGAGGGGCGGGGTACACCCTGGACGGGTCGCAAGTCCATCACAGGGACACAGAGAGACAAACAAGACAAACAACCATTCACTCTCTCACTCACACCTAGGGACAATTTAGAGTTACCAATCAGCCTTACATGCATGTTTTTGGTCTGTGGGATGAAACCGGAGCACCCGGAGAAAACCCACGCATGCACGGAGAGAACATGCAAACTCCACCCAGAAGGCCCCTGGACCGGGGTTTGAACCAGGGACCTGCTCACTGAGAGGCAGCAGCTCTACCAGTTGCGCCACCGTGCTGAAAAAAAACGAAAAGAAAAGTAGCAAAAACCAGCTAGATTCTAAGGTGAATGTAGAAAACTAAAACCAGGAACATGTCTGCATTGGTACCTGCCAGGAGTCCAATAGATTCTTAAAGCTACTTAGAGAGGTCAAGGTCAGATCTTTTTGTAAGATATTCAAAGAAACAGGAGCGGAGTAGGAGAAGGCCCTTTTGCCTAGTTCAGTCCTCACTGAGGGAACACTGCAGGTAATAATGTCCTGAGAGCGCACACTGTAGCTGCACTCACACAGAGACATGTAGGAGGAGATGTATGAAGGCAGCAGACCAAGAAGTGATTTATAGATGAAAATGTACCAGTAAGAGAGTCTGCGTGAAGTTAATGATGTCCACTCAACCAGTGAATACAGGGTGCAGTGGTGGGTACGATAATCACAGCCAGTTATGAATCTTAGTGCACCATGATAGACAGCATCCAACATCTGCAGGGTGCTTGTAGGAGCGTTCATGTAAATAATGTCACCGTAATCAATGGAGGGAAGGAAAGTCACAGATACAAGGCGTTTTCTAGCATTCAGGATTAGACAGGATCTGTTTCTGAAAAAGAAACCCAGTTTAACTTTCAGTTTCTTTACCAAGTTTTCCACATGGAGCTTCAAAGAGAGATGTGAGTCGACCAAGATACCCAAATATTTATAGGAATAATAAACCATGACACTTTCTGCGGTCAGTAGGAAAATAGTTCCTTATAAAGCCGTTAATGAGAAACAAAACATCAACCTCAAAAGTCAACTATGAAGTTAAATTATAGTTCACATCATTTGAATATGTGTGGGGATTATAAAATAAATAATAATGAGTCAAAGAGCAGCTTAATAGGTCAGAACGACTTTAGTAAAGCATTCTCAGACTTGATAATATAATAGGTTACCAAGGGGATAATCAGAGTCTCACAGTCTTTGTGAGATGATGTAGGTTGGTGCTTATAATGTGTCACGTACTCAGTGGAAAGAGATGACAGCTAATGTGGGCCTGATTGATTGGACAGGGACTTCAGTGAGTCTGTAAGGTGTTTGATTGGATAGAAATTGAAAACAGTAAGTGTCACTGGGTGGATAAACAGTCTATAAATGTGGGAACAGAGGTGACACACAGCAGAACTGTATTGTACAGGGGCCCCTTGATGTCAGGTAACGTATACACAATTCCCTCTTGTTCACACATTTTGAAGTCTGTAAAAATAAAGACGTTGTTTAATTCTGACATAAGCGAGTGTTCCTTCCAAGCAAACAACCCGGACGGGGGAAGAGGAGAAGAACCTTGTTTCCCATTACAACATCTGAGCCAAGTTTTAGAATTCAACAGGCATTACTTGCCATCCTGCCTAAATGTGTACATCCTATAGTGAGAATATGGCACGCACGCAGCTGGATATCTCATCGACTTGCAAGACTTGATGATGTGTCTATTCTCTGCTGCCATTTGTGGATTTTAAGGATGCATTTAGAATTGGATTTACAATAACTGGTTCCTGCTTTTTGGATTTGGCTGGTTGCTGGTTTATCTACAATCAAGGAAGTCGTCGGCAGCAAATGTGGACCCGATCACGCTGCTTGCCTTTATGATGGCTTGGTTTGTGCCTCGAGCACCCAGACTCAAATGCTTTGAGCAGAATAGATAAGATCTCGGGGATTATTCTCAGGCACGGTCAATTGGTGTGGCCATGTAATTTGGACATTTCGGAACCGAGTGGACCAACACAGACTCAAGGTAGAAAGTTCTGCCCCCAAAACAACTATGTGTTTATTTGAATTTGGCTCCCTTGCCTGTCCTTGCAGGCCATCTTATCTGAATTCACCTGGAGGACATGTAATCGAACGCTCTGCCCCCCTCTGCCTCCCATTGAGGAATTTCCAACTGATAACCAAATGAAACCAGCTGAATAAACATTGTGTCATCGTTTCAGGACTCTTGGATTCCCATAGGTGTTGTCCTTGGCCATTCCCCAACATCCCTCGAGAATGTTTACGGATATCACCGGAGGAAACTGGTTGATTATTCCATCCTTATCAGAACTCTTACAGTGTCCTCGAGTGCATCCTTGGACATCTCTCCACTCTCGTCTTCTCCCCCCACCTGCGGAATGTCTACGTCACTATGTGCTGTTTGTGTGAGGTTTTTTTTTTTAATATATATTAGAATTTTTCTTTTCAACCAAGAAGAAAGAGTTTGATAGGATTTTTTTTTTGCCTCCAATTCCTGCACGTGTCCAGTTTCACTACTTTTTGTTGTCTGTCTAAACAGATCTCACTTGTAAATGAGTCTTTGAGGCTCAATGTGATTTATCTGTCTAAATAAATGTTGAATGCAGAAAAACAAAGAGAATGTGTCTTATTTTAATTTCTTCACTGCTAAAAATGTGTTTATGATTGTTAAGTCCTTTAATACTGAGTGATACTTCATATGTTTTAAAGTGGGGATGTGTAGAAATGCAAATTCTTTTTAGACACTTTTACAATGCCATTAATTTAGCAATAAATAGTTATTTGCATAGATTTTTGTGGTTCTTCACTTATGCAAACAGTGGTAGCAGCAGCCTGGGGCACTTCCTGCAGGATTTTCATATTTCTGCCAGAGTAACACACAGATGAACATCGACTGTGGTGTAAAGGTTTATCAGACCGCATTTCGTTGAATCCCAGAAACATTCTGAGACCGGAGCTGTTTTAAGACAGCATCAAGTCCCTCTGCTCAGATTAGCAGTCAATCCAGTCAGATTAAACATAATTTCTGTCAACCCCATAGAAGAAACTTTCTATAGAAGGTAAAATATTTATTGTTTAAAAGCTCTCCACAACACCAAACACATCTGAACTAAAATGTTAATGTGGCTCGCCTGCTGATTATTTCTATGCGACACAAAAAAGACATAATCAATGTTAGGATTATAAACAATGTTTTATAATGTGGCACACCGTGATTCACGGTCATTTATGTGTACTGATCAAATGATAAATCGGGAACAACTCTGACTGAAGAAGAAAAAAAGACGTAATTGTTCAGTTATAGTTGGCCATGATATTTTACTAACACAACACACAAATTAAACACACACACACATATGCAGTACAGTGACATGAGTGAAAACAATATAGTCTTAATACCACACAACGGGGTACAAAGTATTTTTGATTTGTTTGTTTTTCACAACAATTTAAAATTTCTCAAACTCCTTCGAGTCAGACCTGAAGGGCTGAGTCCACTGCTTTCACATCTTTGTAGCCGTTTGGTTACATCTTAGCAAATCTTATCCTACATGAATGCCAATTAAATTCAGTTTATTTCTCCAAGTCACAAGTTGTCTCAGGACACTGTACAGAAACATTCACATACACAAAAGACCAATTAGTAAAGTTCTCTATCTAAGGAATCCAGCAGACAAGTTGAATCTTTACTTTGTTGCAGTCTCCCATCCTGAGCAAGCACAGTGGCAACAGTGGAAAGGAAAAACTCCCTTTTAACAGGAAGAAACCTCCAGCAGAACCAGGCTCAGGATGAGCGGCCATCTGCGTTGACCGGCTGGGTTTGACAGGACAGGAAGGAGAGACAAATGAACACAGAATGGCAGGTCCAGATGTAGGTCCAGGTGTATCTGAAAGACAAAAACACATGTCAAGGATAGAAAAAATAATTACAAATACAAAACAGGTTGAGCAGAGTAAGTAAAGACAGTAGCAGAGTGAATAAATGACACAGCTGTTGTCTGGAAAAAAAAACCTCTCGCTGAATGTCAGCAAAACAAAAAAGATGATAGTGGACTTCAGGAGACAGCCTGGAGGTCAGCACTCCACCATCTAATAAACAACGCTGAGGTGGAG